TGTGGTGTCTGAACTCCTTGGGACTTCCTCAGGGACAGGGATCCTCCTCCCTTGGGTGGAAGGTGACTTTGCTACAGCACCTGGTGTCATCAAACCCATTTCCTTTCGATGGCAGGCATGGCTTGCCCTAATTCCATCCTCAAAGCCTTGTCCCAGCATGAGAGGAGGAGACCTCAGGATTCTGATCCTTTCCTAGGGAGGCTGAGTTTAGGTTCAGAGCAGAGAAGAAGCCTCACCCTTTATGAAACACCACTCCTGAGTCACAACCCTGGGAGCCTTCACAAAACCAAGTGCCCGAGCAGGTTCTCATCTGTGCTTTTCTGACTTGACACTGTTGCCCACACATCCAGGGCTGCACATGGCATTTTTGGGCTCTGTTTGTGGCCAGCCTGGGGCTTTTCTTGATTATTATGTCATGATGGACCAGGGGTTTGGTGTTGGGTTGGTTTTTATTAGGACAGGTTCAGCTTTGGTTTCACATTTATAGGTAGGTCTGTTCTTTGAGGTTCCAATAGGATTTTTGAATCTGAGCCTCTCAGAAATAGAGAATTATGGTTCCAACACCATGCCTAGTAGCAATAATAATAATAATAAAGAACTGGAGGCTCATATTTGTGTGAGAGGCAAGCCCAAATTCTCTTTCAAGAGCCTGAACCTCTGCTGGCTCTGGAGCAGGCAGGACCCCACTTCAGGTGGGATCAGAGGGGTGGGGTCTGCAGCAGATTTGGGTGAGGAACAGAACTGGGGGAAGGAGGCAGGAGCAAACCAGCCCCTAGCATACCACAAATGTGTTTTATATTGTAATATCAAACATTGGCTTCTTCTGTGTTTTCTGTTAAAACAAGTCATAAAAGGACTACTTAAAGGGGACTCCATTCCTATATTTTATATATACCCACAGAGAACATGTGGAGCGCAGATAATGGTGACCAACCTTCCCCCCCACCGCCTCCTTCATCTCCTCCATCTAATAAGAAAAAGAACAGAGCTGGTGTTAACACAGGAGGGGTTGTTAATCTAGTCGGAAACGGATTTTCGGGGCCAGCCATCCTATTTTTAATTTTTTTGGCGGGCCTGAGAGGCGAAGGGAAGGGATGGGACGGGATGGGATGTTCACCTCGCTGCTCGGGGCCGGAGGGAGGAGAGCAGCAGCGATGCCCGGGGAGAGCTGCGGGGCAGCCGGGGCTCAGCCCCTCGGGGAGCGGCCGGAGGGGCTCTGCGGAGCGGTGGGATGTAATTGATAGCAGGGAAGAGCTGTCACAATAGCAGGATAGGAAACCGGCTATCCGGGACAGAGCCAGCTTTTAAAAGCCCCTAATCTGCCAGCCTATGTATTAAAGGGCTGATTTGAGGGGAGGACACGGCGGAGGGGGGTTAAAGAGGAGGCCTGACTCCTGTTAGCTCCTTCTAATGAGGCAGTTGAATAGCATTTAAAAGGGCTCCTGGCCTGGCATGAAATCTCACAAAGGAACCTCCTTATTTTAATGCACGCAACTGACTTTGCTTTACAAACACTTTTTATAGTGTCCAGACACTTACAAATCGACCTTCAGTGATTCTCGAGTTAATATGAAGTCTTGGGAAACATTAATGCGCTATTAAAAAAAAAAAAAAAAAAAAAAAAAAAAAAAAAAGAAGAAGAAGAAAAAAAAAAGAAAGTCTCTCAATAGATCTTTCTAGTCTTACAAACACTCTCAGAGTTCTTGAGTACTCGGCTCGGGGTATAAAATGTAAAGTCGTTTAAGGCTATTAATGGGGGGAGGGAGTCGATCCTGCATTCCGTGCCCGAGTCTCTCATTTGAGCTATTAACCTCCCGCTTGTAGTTGATGGTTTGTTGGGGTTTTTTTTCTTCTTTTTTCTTTTTTTTTTTTTCTTTAATTTTTTATTTCCCGAGTAAAAAGCAACGGATTTTGGCTTCGAGCAAGCATATTTAAAACCCCGAAGAAGGGCTTGTGTGTCGACAAGTTTATCTTTCCCTCCCCAGCCCCCCCTTGATATGTCAGTTGGTTTAATAAAAAATCCCCTATTACCATCCCCTCCAGACCTCGGCTCTCTAATTATCCAACAATGAGAGGGAAGAATTTTAGGGGTCCAATCCTGCCAAGCGAAAAACTGGAGGGGATGGGAAGGGCAAGATCGGGAGCTGTCTGAAAGCAGCTCGGAAAATACCTTTTTCCTTTAAAAAAAAATAGAAAAATATTAAAAGAATCCGTGCAGCAGAAGGAAAACGGTTTAAATTGGCAAGCGAGATGAATGAGGGATGGAGAAAGCGAGGCGTAAATGGTGGTGGAAGAGCTGGCCACGGCAGGAAATGTGTGTGTGTGTGTAGGGTGGGGATGTACCGAGCCCGCACGGCCCGTGCTGGTCCTGGGAGGGAGACTCTGCACTTTGGGAGCTGGGATTCCCCGAGGATTTGTCCCACAGACACGGAAAGGAAGGAGGAAAAAGGCAGACTGAGAAAGGAGTGTTGTGAAGAGGAATGGGCCAAGATTTTGGGGATGGGTTTTGGAGGAGGGAGTCGCTTTCCACGACCCGCTGCTCCCGGCAAACCGCGCGTTTCGAGCAGTAAAACTCCTTTCTCATGACTGAAATTTCGGTTTTTTCCCTTTTTTACCGCCCGGCTGAACTGGGGAGAGCAGTGCCAGGAGCCCGGGGCGGGGGTAAAACCCAACCCAACCCCAAACCACCCCACTCTCACGGCCCAAATTATCTCCTCTGAGCGCCGCTTTCGATAAGGCCCGACAGAGGCGGCCGGCCGGGGGGGCGCGCACCCCGCGCTCCTCTTTTGTCTGCTTTTCCCCCGCTCTCGCTTGGTTTTTCTTTTTCTTTTTTCGTTTTTTTTTTTTTTTAATTATTCCCTTTCCCCCCTCCTTCAGGGAACAAAGAACCAATTTAAAGGCTGCTCTGGGCAAAGCAAAGCGCTGGGTGTGCGCAGAGGCGCGGAGGCTCCGCTCCAGCGCAGCCGGGAAAATAAACAACGCTCTGGTTTATCTCTTTGCTTTCCCCCTCTTCGGTGAAATTCGCGGGAGGGGGAGTGGATCTGAGCATGCGAACAGCTGCTTAAAATCTAATATAGACAAATAGACATCTTGTATAACATTAAGTTTTAGTAGGCAACTCATTTATTTTCAAGTGCGCTTGCGACTAGTTTGGCAAAGAGCTTTTCTCCCTTTTTCCTGTTCCTGGAGAGGAGCTGGAGAGTTTGCTGGGCTGAACTGGGATTTGGGAAGGAGCAGGGTACTGTCCGTGAAGCTTTCCCAGCCCTCGGCTGGGTCACCTCAGCGCTCCGGGCTGGATCCCTTTCACCCAGGCGAAAAACGAACAGGAGCAGCCCCCAAACAAAATTAAACGTAGAAAGAAGACCGTGAGGATAAATGGAATATTTACTATTTGGCTAATTAGGGCTTCTGCAAAGAACTTTAGAGAATCTTATCGCTTACAGCGTTCGAAGTGCAAAGTTTTGGGGGCATCCCCTTCTTTAGGCTTGTGCGATATTAAACTAAAAAAGCCTGGCCCGGAGTATCTTGAGTTTGTAAATTCCTTAGGAAAAGTGAATTCCGCCGTGGGAAGCTGCCGGGGATGGAGCAGGGCGCTCTTGCCTCGGCAGGATGGTCACACTGTCTGTCAAGGAAAGGATACTATTAAAATTATAATTATTATTATTATTATAGGAATGTAAGTATTTTATAGGAGCCGAGAGCACAGAGGCAAACAGCAAATCTGTGTCCAGCCAGCCATGGGGAGAGCGGCTCCAAACGAGAGGGCTGGAGTTCAGGGGGAATAAAAATAAAAAGGGCAAAGAATAACTAGAAAATCAAGAATTATTCGTGGAGGTGTGTGCTGGCTGCTGTTATCCACCGAGCCTGCCTCTCCTCTCCAGGCGACGGAGCCGCCGTCCTCCCCCAAATCCCTCCCTGGAGCAGAGTCTTTAGGGCTGGATACGGGAAAAAGGGGGAAACAACAATTGTTTGGGAGCTCCTAGGGATAACAGGCCCCTCTGCCGCACCACTGCCTTCTCCTGCCCTCAACGTTTATTTGCACCGTCAAAAATTCCACGGGTTACCGAAATTTTTTGTTTAATTCGTTATGTATATTTACTTTCTTTTTTTCTTTTTTTTTTTTTTTTTCCCCCTCGTTTGTACCAAGACGACCTGGTGAATTACTAGATGGAAAACAGTCTGAGTGCCAGGATAAAGTTTTCTGCCGGATCAGGGATTTGTTTGTCGGGGTTTTTTTCTTGCAGAAACCAATTTCTCGAGCTGCCCGTGCGGCGGCAGTGAGTGAATTCCCCGCTGGACTTTAGCGCTTGGGAAAGATGCGATCCGGGGCTGAAATACGGCTGGGCTCAAGCTGGGGTCCTTCGAGGGGTTTTTAAAATAATAATTAAAAGGGGGTTCTTTATAATAATAATTAAAACCCTTAAAGTACACGCACACACAAAAACCCCATACCTGACCCATTTAGGAGGGGGGGAAATGTAGAAAGAAACTTGCAGCGTGATCAGAAACTGCTGTTTTGGAGCAAGAAGGGAAAAGAGAGTGACCCGAGCTTTGGGGGAAGCATCAGCCCGCGGTGTCTGAAGCTGCTCGAGGCTGTTGAAATCCCCTCGTTGTGCCCTAGGAATGGAGCAGCAGCGGTTCCGCGGGCCGAGAGCAGCCGGGCCGGGAGCTGGAGGTGATTTATTGTGTGTTTGTTTGAAAGCGTTCCCCCCAAACAGAAACAAACCATTGATCTCCCTGAAAGGCGCAGAGCCGCGGATGCTGCGCGGGGGGCGCAGGGCTGGGCTCGGAGGGTTCGTGCCGCTGCTCGGAGCCAGGGAATAGCAATTTTTCCGCCCGAACCTTTGGCTTGGCGGGGGAGGAACGCTCCCCTCGCTTTAAACCCGGCTTTATTTCGCCGCTTAAGAAGGCGAGGGAGCCCGCCCGAGCGCGGAAGGCGCTGCCGGCTCTGTTATCCCTCAATTATAACTTCATTAATATCTCCTGCTCCCTGGGCAGCAGCGCCTCCGCGGAGCGGGAGCCGGCCCTGCCTGCGCGCCGGGCGGCGGAGCAAAGCGCGCAGCTCAGCGCCAGGTATCTCCCTTCTCATTCTTCTTCTCCTTGGTATTTTTATTCCATCCGCCGTGCCGGAGCATCCCGCATCCCTCCCTGGCGTTGGGAAGCGCCCCAAGCCCGAGGTGTTAACGAGGGGGGACCAAAGGGCTGCGGAGCGGGGCGCGGGGCGGCCCCGGCAGAGCGCGGAGGAAACGCCTTGGGTTTCTTTACGGGCTCATTTTCTCCGAGGAGGATTTTACTGCACGCGTAAAGAATTTTGAAAAGCAGCGGTAAATATTTTCTCTTCTGGCAAGTTATTTATTGGCATGAAGAGAGGTTTGGGTTTGGTGGGTTTTTTTTGGGTTGTTTTTTTTTTTTTTTTCTCTCCCCCTCTTTATAAAGCTACATGTGGTGACCATATAGGATCAGAAATAATGTGGCCTTTCTGGGTTTGAAGAACTGCTAATGTCATTAAAGGTCTTCCTAACACGCCAGCTAGGAGTTCAAAAAGCCTCGCCTTTTATCCTGAGCATATATTTGGTTGTTTATAAAGTGCAGACTTCCTTGTGCTTCAAGTGCATGGGGAGGATTCCTTAAAACTCCGTAGCCGATCTGTTTTCAACTATATTCTTCTTTGGAAATTGGAAATCGGGCTGTTTAACTGGTGTCTTTCACACTTCTTTGCTGGCTGCTATTTTTATACATTTGACCGCAGATGAGCTTTTCTCCCACACAGAAGCAAACAAAGAATTATCCCCTTTGCCTCGTATTGCAGAAAATATCTGCGCCGACCACTAATTGTCCATTAGCGCTAATAAGTGGCTAAAACAATAGCAGGAGATAACCCGAGCAACCTGTCCTCTTTATTTTAATTTGACTTACTGAAGTCGGGAAGGTTTTGACGAAGACCCGACTAGACGTGTCCAGGGAATCTGTGTACTAAACTTTTGGACTGTTGATTTTGAGGGTCACTTATCTAAGCTAAGTTCAAAGTGTCACCTGCTTTAATCCCTTTTCTGTCATGCTCGGAGAGACTCCACACAGCACAGTTAGTTTCTCAGAACGCCTGGAAAAATCTCTGTCTCGATTATTTTTTTCCCTCCCCATTTTCCACTGGGGGGGGGGGGGGGGAAGGCAGAAAAAGGAGAAAAATCCGGAGAAAAAAAGGCCTATTCTGTTAAATAGAAACAAGATGTTCAAATATAGAATACATGAATTTGAAATCTGGTGTTTTCCACTCTCGGATGTTGATGGCGTTAAAAAAATTTTTTTTCCCTCCCCATTTTCCACTCACAAATACGTTTAAGAATTTCTCCCCTCGATTCTAGACTTTTAGGGAAAACTCATTTGAATTCAATTATTAATATTTTCCGGGCATGCTCTTTCAGTGTGCCATTTGTAATATATTAGGATGAATTATATGTTGAGTTAAAAAAAAAAAAAAAAAAAAAAAATCTACTTTGCTGCTTCTGCAATTTAAATCTTTAGGTAGAAACATAAATTATCCACCGGGATATTATTTTTAATTAAAATTCTCTTTCCTGAAGGAGTTGTTTTTAACTTCTCCTCGGTTTTCCTGAAGATTTTTATTTTTCCCTCGGATTTCACATTTTCATTAATTGAGGGATTCTTAAGACGTGTCTTGCAGCGGGCTCGGTGTTTTTGAGACTTTGACAGAAAACAGCCCGCTTGGTTTGGTTTGGTTTGGGTGAATGGTTTTGGGGCAAATGCATAGTTTTGAAACAACTCAGAGGGAGTGGAAAGCTTGGAGCTCCTCAGACGCGTCAATGAGCAGTGTTCACACACACACACACAAATCCCGTGGTTTTTCAACAAGCTCTTGAATGTCAAGCTCCTCACTAAGGCTTTGGAGGGGCAAAGCTAAATTTATGCCTCTCCCACCAGTTAAAAGCACCTAAATAGAAAGGCAGAAGTGCTGAACCCTCACAAACCGGGTGAGGACAAGGAGGACAGCTCTCGTTGATCGCCCCCAAAGTCGAGCCCTTTTCTGCTCTCTGCCTGCATGTGATTTGGGCTGCCTTTATCATTTCCTCCAAGAGAAGAGCTGCAGCAGCATCAAGGAAAAGTTCCTCTGTACCCTGAAAATCAGGGACTTGAAGCACTTGGTGGAGTTCAAAAGGTTTGGGAGGGGCAGGGCAGCACACCTGCTTTGTGTTAGGTGGCGAGAAGGGCTGAGAGGAGCCACCTCAGCATTCCCGGGCAATCCAGCCCCATAAATGTTCCTGGGGCATCCACAGCACGAAACACCTCCTGCTACCTGGGAGCAAATACTCAGGTGCTGGTAGAAGAGAGGGAGTGGTGGAGGAGCCCAGGATCAGGGGACTTTAGAGGTTCCAACACCCCCAGGTTTTGCTGACTTTTGGTTTGATGATTTGTCTGTCAGAGGTGTCCCCTCCTGCCACTTCAGGCTAAAGAGGCACCAGCACTTAAAAAGTAGTAAAAATAAAGAAAAACTAAGGAAAATCGGCTGCTTTTTGTATCCTGGGAAATTCTTTCAGGAAGGGAAAGGGGGATTATTTTGGTTACTTGAAGCTGGCAATCAAGGCAACGTCCTGTTTTCTCATGGGGGCTCTCCAGGGCAGTGGGTCCTGCAGCTCTGCTGACCTGTCTGTGCTGCTCTCTGCCCAGAGCCCAGCAGATAAGGCAGGCAGACAGGGGCTGAGGGCACAGACAGAATTCTAGGGGCAGGTACATCTGCTGATCCATCTTAGTGGTTTCATGGACTTTTTTGCTCTTTCCTGTAATTTTGGAATCAGTCATTCTGCTATCAGCTTGCTCTAGAGATGGATGAGTAACACCAGGGAGATAAAAGAGTCAAGCCTCCCTTTCCTGAGATTTGGCTGCTTTTTGTTAACAGTGCTGAGTGCCATTATTTCCCACAAGAGACATCTGGAAAATCACCCATGTGTGGTGGAGAAAGTGGCTCTTCTCTGCTCCCTGCTCCCCTTTGATCCAACATGGAGCACAATTCACTGCCTCTTGAGTTCAATAGCTGCCATCCCAGGATATTTTTCACTCTCCTGTGCTGTGGCTGATTTGAACCACTTTAAGAAAATATGAATGTTAGCTGCTTTTTGTCTTAGATCGTGTTTATTTATGAATTTGTGACAGTGAGGCTGATGCCAGGAGGAGAATGGCATGGACCAGCTGGATATCATGAGTACAAACATTGGAGTTGTTCCTCTGAGCTGGGGTGGCTTCACCTTTGTAACAGCACACGACTGGGGATTTGCAGGAGTCTGGGTGGCCGTGGCTGGGCTCTGCAGCCTCCCAGCAATCAAAGCACAGATCTCCAGAGCCAGCAGCACCAGCTGCTGGGCTTTGAGCTGAAGCTGCCTACCTGGAGCAGGGATGGGTTCAGAGCTCTTTGGACTGGGGATCAAAAAGGGGGGAGCAGAGCAGGAAGGGTTTTGTGTGTGTTGGAGTTCAGCAGGAGCATGGAGTTGTGCTCTGGTCTTCCTAACCAGAGGGGCCACCCTGTGATTTGTGGGCTGTGTGCAGCACTCTGGTGCTTTGGCTGTGGCTCCTGAAGCAGGGATTTGTCGTGGGCCGGCAGTGTGGGCTGAGGCTGCCCCTGGATTGGTGTGGGCACCAGTCAGGGGCTGGCGTTGGACCCAGCCTGAGACCTCAGTCCCTGTGGCACTCACTCCCAGAGCCTTCCCTATCCCTGTTTACTGATTCCTGAGTGAGAAGACACCTGGGTGGGTGAGAGTGGCTGCATGAAGCTTTTCCTTGAGAAAGCAGCTCTCGGATATGTGAGAAGTGCTGACCTACACGTTCACTGCCCGGACTCGGAGATGTTTGCCTGCTGGGTACCTCTGCTTTCCAGCACTAAATCCTGTAGTACTCGACCTGAAAGGTCCTGCTAATATGGGCAGGATCAAGCACAGGCCTACAAAGAGCAAGGGAGGTCATTATTTTCACAGGAACTGCAAGCTGGACCCTAAATCTTCAGAAGAGAGCGGTGCCTAGAAACCAGCTGTCTCATATATCTGCTGTGCTGAACTGGTAGCAGGGAGGGGAGAATAAAAATGTGTTTTGCAGTATAATATTGCTTTGTGCCTCTAAAAAAGGCTTCTAATTTTATGTTTTAAAGGCAAACATTGCAGCTAATTGAAGAGCAGAGAGGGAAAAATGGATCTCCTTTTCTAAGTGCCAATAAGACTGGGTTCTGGGCCAGTGGTTCTGTGAGAGGTCTCCATTTACTACCTGTCCTAAACCTCAGGTATTTCAGAAGGAAAATGCCTGCCATATATTAAAGAGAAAAGTCATTAAATGGATGTCAAAAAAAAAAAAAAAAAAAGGAAAAAAAGAAGTAGGACAGAGAAAACCCATATGACTGAATTTATGGCTTGCTCAGGAAGAACAAGGTAGCACTGAGAAAACATGAATGGGAACAAGGGGGCTTCCATGCAGTGGAAAAGGCTTTTACCACTTGCTGCCTTCCCAGTGCTGACCTCGGAAGAGGTCCACCAGGATGGCAGTGTCACTGTCCCAGCCCTCCTCCTGCCTTTTCCCTCAGCCCCCTGGCTTGAAGAGCAAAACCCTCCTCCTCCTCCTCCTCCTCGTGTTCCCTGGGAGTTGGATTAGGCCCTGTGCCCAGAAAGTCTCTCGGATTTTATTGCTCTGTTGAATGCACCCATTTGCCTCTGGAGGAAACTGCTCAAGCAGCCCTGAGCCAGCAGGAAAGTCAAGGCTTTGTGGGCATCCAGGCAGGAGCCAAACTAAACGAGCAGGAGGCAAAGGGAAATGCTCTTGGGGACAGTGGATTAGGAGCAGGCTTTGGGCAGGAGGATGCAGGAAGAGAGAAATGTGGAATTTTAGCCGTGGGCTCGGTGGGAGCAGTGTCCAGAGCGTGTGGTGTCAGAGCAGCAGGCATGGTGGTGACACACCTGGGGGCAGGCTGGATCTGTCCATGGGGAGAGCTGGCCTCTTCCCCAGGTTCCTGTGGTTCTGGGCAGAGCTCGGAGCCTGAGGCTTCCCTCTAAACCAGGGAGTGGGACTAAGGTGGGCAGGAG